AATCCTCAACAATTTTCTCTGTGGTTTTATTTGTCTCTTCCTGTTCTGGAATTCTGGTTACATTTAAGTGATTCCTCTTGATGGTATCCCACATGAATCTTAGGGCTTCTTCATTTTGTTTTGATCTTTTTTCTGACTGATCCCTTACCAAAGTAGGATTGAGGTATTTGCCTTCAATCTCACTAATTCTGTCTTCTATTGATTCAATTCTTCTCCTGTGCTCATTCAATGTGTTACCTATTTCTGAAATTTTATTATTAATCTTCTGTATTTCTATCTGTAGATTTTGTATAATTTCTAATTTTTCATTTATTTTGTCATTTTGTTCTTGTATCTTCTTTCAAAATTGTTCTAGGGTTTTGTCTGTATTTTCCTGAATTTAATCAGTGTGTTCATTTATCTGTGTCTCAATTGGTTGAAGGTATCTAAATATAATTCTTTTGAATTTCTTATCAGGGAGTTCCAATGCTGCTTTTTCCTCAGTGATATTTTCTGAGTCTGTATCCTGGTCCTGTTTCTACTACATTATCTTGCTTCTTTATGTGGACTGTGATGATCTCTTGTCCCCAAGACATTGTGACATCATTGTATTTATATTTAATTGGTGATTGTATGTTGGTGTGTCTTGCCCAAGATTTTTTTTTCTTTGTTTTATTTTGATATATATGAATAAGCAGGGTACTGTGCTCCTCTGTTCACTAGTTGACAGCACTTATGCTTCAACACCTGTTTCTTGGTGGGGGTGATAGATAATGAGAGTAGGTGCATAGATCACTGTCTGCTGTTTGTGAAGAGCAATTAAGAGTGAGTCAGGCTCATACTGGCTATTGTCTACATTCAGCCAGTTGGTGCAGAAACAAGTGGTGGCCCTCACTCAGTTGGTGGGGTCCAGGAGGTGGGGGTGTGGTTGGGTCATATGAGCATAGTTGCTGTCTTCCACTCAGTTAGACAAAAATAATAATCCAAAGAATAACCAAAAAAAAAAAAAAAAAAAAAACAAGAGGACAAAAACACACACCATATAAACACACAGGAGCAATTGCCAAAAAGGAAATAAAAAGGAAAGGCAATAAATGAGAAGATAATTTGAAGAAATACTTTAAAAAGAGAATAAATGTAAACAGAAAAAGAGAAAAAAAAATCCTACAATATCTGGGGAGGGTAGGATAAGAGAAAAGAGCTAGAGTAAAAGAATAATAAAGAAAGGAATGAGAAAAATGCAAATAGAACAAGGGATGGGAAGAACAAACAGAAAGGAAAAAAGATGGGAACCAGGAAAAGGGAAGAGAAAAAAAAAAAAAACTAGAACCTGTAAATGGAAAAAGAAAGAATAAAAATAAAAAAGAAGAAAAAAAAAGAATAAAGAACAAACAAACAAAACCAAAACAAAACAAAAATCTGGGGGTAGGGGATGGGCCAGGGCACTCAGGCTCCATCAGAGCACACAGACTGGGATGGAATTCTTGCTGGTTTAGAAGGTAGTTGGAGGTGGGGGATGGCCACACCTCTGTTCACCAAGAGGATGTGGGGTATAAAAGTAACAAGGGGAATATCACATCTTTCCAGTTGTCAGACTCTGGTGTGGTTGCCCACGTTGTCCTCAGCAAGCAGAGCCTATTCTTTGGTCACTGGGATCCAAATGTTGCTGTCTTACATATCCAAACTGGCCACACCACTTTTAAATATTCAGAATGGCTGCACCTTCCTGACAGCTGAAAGTCCACAGCTGTGTTTGTGTCCTTCTTTGCTGTTTCCGTTTTTAGTTGTCAGTCACCAGTGTAGTTGTCCATGCAGCCCTTGGTGAGCTGGGCCAATTTTTAGGTTACTGGGCCAGGTCCTAATACCACTTGTAAATATTCAAGCTGGCCATGCTGTCAGGATAGCTGATAGTCCACAGCTCTGTTTGTCTCCTTATTCACTGTTTTCACTCAGGTTCTTCTACTAGTTGGTATTTAATCCACTTCTGCATCCTTCCTTTCAAAGTTCAGGGCTCCAGGATTAACTTCTTTATCTGTGTCAATTGGTTTATCTTTCCTTGGTTGAAGAGGGTCTAGTTTGTGTCTATTCTGCCATCTTACCAGAAGTCCAATTCATTCAGTTTTGTAGTGAAATCTCTGAGACCTTAATGACCTACTTCATTGACTATTTCACAACTATTTTTTCTCCCATTACTTTTCTTCACTTTCCCCTTCTTCCAGAGAGAGAAAGAGACAGAGAGAAAGAGAACCCACTTCCCATTTCTCTAGAAAAGAGCCAGGAACTGTAAAATGGGGAAAGTGTATGAACTACATCCTTAGGAATGAAAATAATCATCTTGGACCACTAGAGATAGTACCAGAATGTATTATGACTATGAGAACTATGCAAACATTATAGAAACCTTTATAACTTTCTTATATTGATATATTCCATGTGTAATTAGTAATAAAACCTTAAAAGTTTGTGAGCTGATTTTTCAGGCAACCAGAAAAATGGGAAACTGGGGAAACATTTTTCTCAGCCTATCTTGGGGAACAAGAACCTAAAAAAATATATACATCAGCTCTCCAAAAAGAAAAGAAGTTCACTCTTCAGAGTCAGAGGGGTTAGAAAGGTCCCAGGAAGCTATCCAGGAATTAAGTAGCGACCCTAGAGGCTTAGTTAACAAAGGACCCTAAGATTTTCCAAAACAAGTACCTAAAAGGAGACCATTTAATCAAAGTGTCCTCAACATCTTAGTTTGAAAAATTGCAATGTGATTATGAAAAGATCCTTTTTTATGAGACTTTTTGTTTGTGTTTTTGGCAGTGTTGCTTTTGTCATGGCCAAAAGCCAGGGGGGAAAAAATTTCAAATTATTTGAAGACTCTAGGTTCTCATAAAAAACTCAGTGTCAGTTTGATTCTATAAGCTGTAAAGATTTGGCTCATGTAATGCTATAGGTTTTAAGTAACATTAGGTCACAGTCTTAGCCTGCATCTGTCCATGAAAATGCTCATAATGATAGCAAGGACATAGTGGCCTGGTTCTGAAGAGCTTTAGGAAAAGGGTAGTCAGGCATCTGCCCATGTATTTTAGGTGTTCATCTACTTAGGATAGTTTGAACTCTTTCCACCATTATAAAAGCTGGATAGGAAAAGAAAGAGAATTAAGGAGATTCTTTAATAACAACACAGTTATTTAAAAAAAAACAAAACAAAACATGGTAGCATAGTGCCTAAGGCACCTGACTGCTAACCAGAAGGCTGGCAATTCAAACCCACCAGCCACTCCTCAGAAGAAAGGTTGGACAATCCTACTTCCACATAACAACAACAACAACAACATCCCCACCATAGACAGTACAGTGGGGAAAACCAATGAGCTAAAGTTTATTCTCATCAGGAACTTATTACTTCTTACCTAATCTATTTCAGTAGCTCCCCACCACTTCCAATTCAGTGTACCCCTCACATCACTACAGAATTAATTTTCCTCAAGTGAAACGCTATAATATCCTCCCTGTGTTCCCAAACCTCTAGAAACTTCCTATTATTCACTGGATCAATATAAATTCTGGTGGAGCTCTGGTGGCACAGTAGTTAAAGCATTAGGCTGCTAACCAAAAGGTCAGTGGTTTGAACCTACCAGGCTATGAAAGAAAGATGAGGAAGTCTGTTTCCGTAAAGATTTACAGCCTTGGAAACCCTATGGGACAGTTCTGCTCTGTCCTATAGAGTTGTTGTAGGCCACTATGAGGGAGCTCTGGTAGCACAGTGCCTAAGGCACTTGACTGCTAACCAGAAGGCTGGCGGTTCAAACCTACCAGCTACTCCTTGGAAGGAAGATGGGGCAATCTACTTCCGCAGTGATACTTCCTCAGAAACCCAAGGAGGGGTCGCTATGAGTTGGGTCTGACTCAATGGCACATGACAACAACAAGAAGGTCACATGAGTCAAAATCAAATCGAGGGCAGTAGGTGGTTTGGGTTAATATAAATGTGGAAGCCTGACATTTAAATTTCTTCATGGTGAAACCCCCAAATAACTTTTTTCTCTTAGTTTCCATACTGTTGTATGCAACCCTAAACAAACGGTGTTCAAAACACATCTTTAACATTCCCACCTCCATAGTCACCTATTTTGTCACCTCTGCTTGGAATGATTATCCCCACTTCACACTCAATATGGGCTAGTCACAGACATCCTAGTTCCTGAAGCCTATCTGAAATCACCTCTTAGAAGTCTCTTCAGATTTCTTTCTGTGTTAAACTCACAAATGACTTAATCTCTTTCTCATAGAATTTGGTATATTCTGCCCTAGAATGTGGTTCTGTGCACATCAGTCTTCTCTCTCTACATTCCTTACCATCTTATAGATGTTTTAAGACAGTGACCACAAATTATTTATCCTTGTATTATTATAGTGCCTTACACACAGTTAGGGGGCTCTGGTGGCATAGTGCCTAAGACATTTGACTGCTAGTCAGAATGCTGGTGGTTCAAACTCACCAGCCACTCCTTGCAAGGAAGATTGGGTAATCTACTTCCATAGAGATACCGCCTCAGAAACCCAAGGAAGGGTCATTATGAGTTGGATTTGACTTGATGGCAGTGAGTTTGGTTGTTTTTTGGTACATATAGTTGGCATTGAATAATATTTGTTACATGAATGAATGAATATGTCAAATATGAGTTTGATTAACTAATATTTATTTCATGATACCCCAAGTGGTTTCCCTTTTCTTATTCGTCTTATTCTTTCTCATGAGAACTGTATGTGAAAAGGGAAAAAACAGGAAATGCATAGTCTTTGTTTTGAAACACTCTAGTTAGTTTCAATATGGCCAAATGATTAAACTTTTATATTGTAGAGTATTAAAAATACCAGTTTTTAGTGCTGTGTAATCAGAATAGTGTAAGATAAACAACTCTTAATAAAATACCAATTGGTTGATTTCCTGCTTAGGATACACAAAAGTGCTTGGCATGTCTTAGTGCTGAAAAAAATATAACAGCACAATCATAGAGCCTCATACTTACCACATTACTACATGTTCTGTATCGGATGTTTCTTCCTTCACAGCTCCTAAATCACCAAAAAACAAAACAAAACAAACAAACAAACAAACAAAAAACAAGAAACAATTTATTACTACCTAGAAAAGGCTCAACATTTGAACTTTTTTTCTTACCAAAAAAAAAAAAATTCTATTAATACTAGTCTAAGAGCTTCTTTAAAGGACCTCTGTTGGTGCAGTGGTTGAGGCAATTGGCTGCTAACCAAAAGGTTGGTGGCTCAAGCTCATCAGCTGCTCCACAGAAGAAAGAGGGGAGTAGTCTACTTCCGTAAAGATTTACAGCCTTGGAAATCCAATAGAGGTCACTATGAGTCAGAATTGACTCGATGGCAGTGAGGTTCTTTTTTTTTGAAGAGCCTTTCTTATCTTCTGAGAAGGTCCTCAGGGAAGTTACCATCAAATACGAAACTAAGCAAATCTAAAAATATTGTATAGGTAAATTGATTTTTTCATGAGGATTGAAACTAAGCATACACATTACTTCAAAAGTTTTCAAAATAAACATTTTCAGTTGGTTATTTTACCAAACAACAATTAATGCAAGTTTTCTGAAACATATTTATACTAAATGAGTCCTGTCTTCTTTATTATTTCTGGAGGGATATTGCACTGGAATAAGTTTATTATTGAATATGGTAAAAATTGCACTGAAGAATTCAATGTGCCTTTTAAAATCATTTATCTGAAGACATGAAACATCATAATTCTTAAAATTAAGAAAAACTATTTTCTGTTTCTAAAATACATGTTTATTGTAGAGGTTTTGGAAAAGACAACTAACCAAAAGGAGAAAGAAAATAGTGTGCAGTTGTCTCATCTAAAGACATCCATTATTATTTTATGTACTTCCTTTTTATATGAAAGAAATCATATCACTTACACAATGTTATAGACTACTTTTTTTGTACTTATAATTTGTGGAGGTACTTTTTCCCACTATTAAATAACTTTGAAGACATTCATTTTGAGAACTACATTATATTCCATCAAATAATATAATATCATTTGTATAATCATTTCTCCATTACTTGTTACTTAAGTAATTTCCAATTTGGGCTTTGATAAATGATAGTGTGATTAAACTATCTCTGTGCACATGTTTTTCTCCAAGTTTCTGACTGTGTCTTTAGGATAGATAACTTTCTAGAAGGGGGATTACTAGACTACAGGGAATGAACTTTTGTAAGGCTCTTGGTAAATATTGCCAAAGTGCATTCCATAAAGGTTGTACCATTACATACTCCCACCAGTAATATATGGGGGTTTTCATTTTACTGAACTCTTATGAGAAAAAAAAAATTTCTGATAAAAAACATTCAATGATGACACATAAACTTGAACAATAGTTCAACTCTACTCTTTTCCAAATGTCACACTTTAACAAAATAAGTACACATATAATATAAAATTCTGAGATAATTATTATACTAATATCTAATAGTTGTGGAATGCCAGATCCATTTCTAAGTTTGTTACATGTATTCATCCATTTAATCATCTCAAGAATCCTAGGAGACAGGATACTATCATTATCCCTATTTTGCAGATGAAGGAACTAAAGCTTGGGAAGGTTAAGTAATTTTCCAAAATCACAGAGTTAATAAGTAGTAGAACCTAAATTTGAAACCAGCCATCTAGCTTCAGAGTTGACACTCATAACCAGTGTGCTTTACTGCCTAATTCATTTGTTTATTCAGTAAACATCTATAGGCCTCCTCGAATGTGCCAGGTAGTGCACTTACTCCAGGGAATATAAAGGAGAATGAATGCAACTTGGCCTTTACCAAAGAACTTGGAATCTATTAAGGAAATCATTCACAAAACGAATTCAGTAAAATTAATTCTAAATATTATTTTACTTAGATCTTCTGAATGTTATCAATAAGAAAATGTCATATGAAAATACAATTATACAAAAGCTATCTTAAAGAATGGAAAGGGTTCCAGGCCTGAAGACTAATCAGATTTGATGTATTAATATTCAGTAATATTAGAATGTGTCAAAGAAAAGGAAGGCTGGTCAGGCATTAGAATTATAGAAAAAGGAGAGCGACAGTGATGAGTGGTATCATTGCTCAGTCCAGCAGTGTTCCAGCATGGACTTTAAGTCCTCAAGGTCCCATTTGTAAGGATGTTTCTTTTGCTATCATGATACAGACACATCATGCTAACCTAGCAGCTATCAATGAACATTCAATTTTTCTGAGAAACGATGACATACTGACCATGCAAATTGCCAAGAGTGATCTAGTTTTTCAGTAATGCTGAGGAGGCAGAGAACATGCTGGCCCCACTGACATGAGTACTCTGGCCCAGGTGATGAAGCATTCCATTCTTCATTGTAAATTAATAAACTGGCATTCTAGTTTTAAAAGCTAATCTCAAGGAACAGGTCAGTGTAAGTCCATCCCCAAGAGAAGGATCTGTTCTTGGTGTGACTGTTGAAAAATATCAGGTTTCTGAGTGAAAATATGAGAGTTAGCCTCCAGTTGATGGTAAATTAATAGGGTAATGAATTCTACAATTGAGAGGCTCTTGGTGGCATGCCATTCAGACATCAGTGTTGACTCCATGTGATGTGTTTTCAATTCTGAAATTCTTACTGCATACGTAACCAAACTCCTCTTTCTAGAATCCTGACTTTATACCTCAGTTTCTAGGTCTGTTTTGTCATCTGTAAAATAGGATAATATTGTCTATCTCTTGGGAATTATAGTCAATATTTGTGAAGCACTTAAATAGTGCCTAGTATGTGGTAAGCAACGTGTAAGTATTTGATAAATTAATTAAGTGAGTAATAGATGTAGAAGTATCATAGATATTGAAAGGGGGTTAAGGATATATATAGAAGAAATTGCAAGTAAAAGAGTAGAAGTATGAATGGATGTAAGGTGTTTGAAAATTTTTAAGCAGTTCTTTTTTTTTTTTTTTTTTGAGTATAAGGTGAATGTGGGGAATTGCAGGAGATGAGAAAATTATCTTCTAACTTTGAACTTTGCAAGAAGCAAAGGGGAAATTCAAAGTTTTAAAAAGAATTGGAAGGATGCCTTCCTACTCTATAAAACTGAACTCCGGTGTTAATGATTAAGATCTTAATTTCTGTTTTTCACCCACTTTTTATTTTCTTTCCCTACCCTTATGTGAATTAAAAGAATAATGTAAACATTTTGAAGAGCTAGGTTATAGACTTTGGTCTTCCACTTGCGTAGAACACATATCCTCTCAAAGTTTTACTTTCCTTATCTGTCAAATGGATATAGGAATGCTAGTGCATGATGTTATAATCACCAAGTGAGATAAGCTTTATTCAAATGCTGAGGGGTCATTATAGAGATATCATTTACTAAACAAAGCAAAATAGAACAGAACAACAATAAGAAAAAAAAAAGTGAAAAACCAACTTCAATAATTTAAACTCGTGTTTTCGCAGATATTTTAAACTAGAGGTACCAATGTATACTTCAAAAGTATCCTTGGATAGTAGGAAATATAAGCATATATGTAAAAGACTTGTTTAAATACCACTTATTTTGCAGAAAACAAAAATTAACCAAAAAAAAAAAAAAATAATCGAAGGTAAAAACATTTGCCACAATTTCCAAAGGATATCCTATAATTGTCTATAACAATATTGATTTGCAAAAAATTTCTGCCCTTGAATTGTCTTCGCTTTAGTATACTTCATTGTTTTTATTGAGAGTTTATTTAATTTAATTGGTTGAAATAGAAAATTTAAATGGTAATGCTTGGGTTTAGCAAAGTGCTGGTTACTAAAAGACATCAAATTGTAGATAATAACAGTAATACTAGCTTCTACTATATATTAAATGTCTGCTATAGTGTAGTGCCTTAGGCATTTGACTGCTAACCAGAAGGCTGGTGGTTCAAATACACCAGCCACTCCTTGGACGGAAGATTGGGCAATCTACTTCTGTAGTGATACCACCTCAGAAACCCCAGAAGGGGTCGCTATGAGTCAGCTCCAACTTGACGGTAGTGAGTTTTTTTAGTTGCAGGTAGTTGGCCCAGTGCTGGGTGTTCTACATACTTTACTCTTCCAACAATTCTGCAAGGTTTCATTATTACCATTTAATAGATGAGAAAATTGAAGCTGACAATTATTAGGAGCATAAGGCCATATACTCAGAACAGAGAGAACCAGGGATTAGAACTCACATTTGGCTAACTCCAAAGCAAATAAAACAATATTAAAGGAAAAAAAAAAAAAAAGGACACTTTTTTTTTTCAAGACATGTAAAATACTAACACCACAAGACTGAAACTCTGGGAAGGTGCACAAGGATTAGCCTTGGGGTTAATTGCATCTTACTATTTCCACACAATTTATCAGCTGCTTTTCAATTCTGGCAGGCCCACTCCTGCTCAGTAAAAGATACCAAAAGCCGTGCACTGTAAATTGGGAACATCTCAAAGAGAAGCATACTGATGAATAAAATGTAGTATGAAAGAACTTCATTGCAGAGAAGCTTATGTTCACAAAAGTGAAATATATTACATTTGGATATAAATTTAATTTTAAGTGAAAATTCCACAACAAGGATTTTATTCTCTCCAAATGTGAATTTCTTTATCCAAAGCATTAATCTGAGGACAAAAGCATCATCTGAGAATTAAGCAGTTAAAAAATTCAGGGTAGCTATGAGTTGGAATTGATCAACAGCAATGGATTTGAACATATCTATGCCCTTATATGGGAGCTCTGGTGGCGTAGCGCCTAAGGCATTTAACTGCTAACCAGAAGGCTGGCGGTTCAAACCCACCAGCCACTCCTCAGAAGGAAGGTTGGGCAATCTACTTCCATAGTGAT